GAACCACCTAGACCAGTTTTGGATGCTCATGCTCACGGCTTGGGCAAAACCAGGGGCCCATCGAGCTGACTCATGGGACTTGCGATGCAAATGAGGCATGCCACTGCTCTCACTCTCAGGCTCTGCAGCGGCTGCCTGCACAGTGACACCACGCAAACCCTTGTCAAGGCTTAGGGTCTCTAGGTACTGCAAATCACCATAGTTCGTGCCTAAGGTCGTAGGCCTACTTATCACATGCTCTAAATCCCCCTTGTAGACATGAACTTCAAACAACCCTGCTTCATCGGCATAGGAATTCCAAAGTCCAGTATTCCAAAAACTAGGGACCTGACCAAACAAGGCATGCGAAGGAGGCACGTAGCGATCAATAAGCATCGGGTGCTCAAGCAGAAAGCCAACCTCAAGCCTAGTAACTCCAGCTGGCGGCCTAACCTTGCGACCTGCAGTCGCCACAGCATGCAGCCAAATCTGTCGGCAAAGCAAAGCCGTTTCACGATCAACCTTCGACCCTTGTGCTGCTGACAAATCTGGAAGGCCATATAAGTCCAATGGCCCGCGCACAGGTGGGACAACGCTACTCCCATGAACATGTGTGTCAAACGTACCACGCGGTGGAGCACCAAGAAGATGCGACACTTTGCCGTGGACGGCTCCCCAAACTAGAGCGCGCCAAGCAGGAGTGCGTAGCACATCTTGGTCTGAGCCTCTGGTAATGTCCAATTCCAGGACAGCCACATTCTTGGACTCAAGGTGCGAAAAGGGTTTAGGGCCTGGGGCTCCAGCGTACAGATGAACAATCCACTCTGGGGCATTGAGCAATGCACGACGGCGACGCCGATTGAGATGCGTCAAACCCTTTAGGAGCTCCCATCCTGAAACCTGAGCAACATCCTCAACAAGTCCCTGCAAAGCTGCTTGGGGAACATCTGCCAAGAAAGGCGCGGCCTGCAACGCTAGTTGGGCTGAATTGGTGGATCCAAGGCTCACATAGTCCTGCATGTGATCCCACCAGCTCTTTGACATCAAGGCTTTGACAGCTCGGATGCGAGAGGTACCTTCGGCCACATTCGCCTCCAGAGACTTCAAGTCCTCTAGCCGCTTTTCTTCTAGCTTGCTGATTAGCACCAAGGCTTCTGATTCCATGATCTCTGGACACCCACCTTTAACCCTCAAGCGAAAGGCACGACCCGAAGGAGCAATCAAACGGCATCGCGAGGCAGTCCAATCCAAACGATACCCCAGCTGCTGGATGACAGAACCCAGCGGCACGATGGTTTGGGCACTAGATGTGGGAGGCAACAGAAGAGTACCAGCAGCAGACAAACGCATAGCCGAAGTCTCCTTTCCAGCCAGTGACACGACAACGGGTTGCGCACTAGCCCATTCAGCTTCGGAACTTGCAGCGCGAAGGGCATGAGTGGCCCCACTGTCTACCAAAGCCAAAAAACTAGGACTACCATCTACTTCCAAAACCTGCCCAGGCTCAATGGCTGTGAGATGGATGGTCTTAATGCTCGCTTTAGGCTCCTCCTGTGCTGCAGGTTTGTCTTCAATCGCCGGAGGCTGCGCGGGAGCGGCTGGGGTGGATGCAGGAGGAAAGGCTTCGGAAGAACTGGCAGCTGCAAACATCATGCGCATAAACGCTGTGAAGTCCTCCGCTCGGCCTGGGCTCGCGCCCGGCTGGATTGCAGTAGACGCCTGATCAGCCGTTGTAGGCCTGTGGCCTGCAGCATTGTTGGTGTCTCCTCCACCTGGCTGTCCTTTCCCCTTTGGGCTTCCTCCAGCTACCGGGCAGTCCTTTTGGCGGTGTGCCTCAGAGCCACATGCTAAGCACTTTTTGCTGCGCTCCTGACGAGAAAGTCCTGACATGTCGTGGCTAAACGTGCACTTAGGACCCCGCCTACACCCCGAAGTACCCATGAAAAACTTGCAGGGCTTTGAAGCCTGCGGCTGCCCACTGGCCTTTGGAGATGTTCCCGGACTGGGCGTGCCTACAGCTCGAACCTTAGGGGCACTCACACCTGTGGCCTTAGAGACTGCAAGGGCTTCCATCTCTGCAAGCAAGTGCTTGTGATACTCCAGGACTGCAGACGAAGTTGGTTGAGCATCCATTTTTAACATGGAACGAAGCATAAACGTTCGAAACTTCGCTTCTTCATGCTGCGCCAAAACTTGGCTAGTGATGGTAGTGAGGCTCTTGGACAAAATGGTCGAGTCCGGAGGTGACATGTTGCAACTTTCACAGCGATTGTACCAACGAATCCACTCACGCAAAGACTTCACGGCTGAGGAGGGATCAGATGCTGGAGTGGGCTGCATGAGATTCTTCTGAATAACCTCCTTTTCTGAACCTCCACCTGGTTGGTACGTGGTGTGCAAACGGAAAAGGATGGAAGGAGCTGATTGATTGCATTTGCGGGCCACAATGTCTGCTTTGATAGACTCGGGGACTGCCGCCATAAGCATACTACAGATCCTAAAGTTGACACGCGCCCATCGCCCTTGAAGCAACTCAGCCGGTACAACGGGCTCAACCTTTAGCCTATCCAAGGGTGATGACGAAATCCAAACCCCATAGGCCGTATCAACCACACCCAAAACCTGACGCCACCACTCTGCTGCTGTGTCCGAAACATCACCGACCAAACCCCCAATCACAACTAACCAATCTTGGTACAGAAGAGACCCTTCATCCGAAGTGAGCTCTGCCAAAGCTGGGAAACTCGAGATGCCTGGCTTAACAGCTTCAGGGTTGGTGGGAGAATTGCCGCCATCGCGTTCGGCACGAGATCCCTTGAGCATCTCTGACATGGCATCTTGAAGTTGATGCATCCCAGCAATCAGTATCTCACGATCTGTGGGTCCTGATGCACTCGCGGCTCCTGCTGGCAGTGTGCCTCTGGGTTCTGCTTGTGGCCTCTGCGGTGCAGGGCTGGAAGACCGCGCACCGGAACCAAGGAGCCCTGAGAACAAACCAGCGAAGCCCTGAGGCTCGGGAGCGGAAGGAGGCGGAGGAGGAGGCGGTGAGGATGAAGAAGGGGCAAATCCAACCCCAGTGTTGGCGACAGGATGCGAACCGAACCCACTATCACCAAACCCACTAAAGCCAACCTCCCTAGTACCCACCTGCTGCAACGCCGTAGCCTCAACTTCACCAGCCTGCTGAGACCGAATCCTCGAGAGTTCGGCCTCAGCACGACCAGCTCTCTCTTGCTCAGCTCGCAGTTGCTGCTTCAACCCATCAAGCTGTCGCGCGACTTCTGCCTGAATCGCATCATGCGGAATAGATGAGGACTCGGTGTGCGGAGGCCTGTCCGGAGACCCGGACCCGTAGAGCAAGGGAGCTCTTTGCTCCATGGCAGCAAGCTGCTGCGCGTTGGCACCAGTGAACAACGGCATCGGCACTTGACACTCATCTTGCAGGACGCGGCCTCCTCTCTCGAGGGGCTGTAGTGGTCGCGACGGCCTTGGAGGAGAAGTCAGTGGACTGGGAGCCCACCCTTGCGGCAGTGGCTGTACGTTCGCCGCGCCACCAAACAGAGACTGCACTCTTCCTAGCAACTGACTAGCAAAAGCCTGAGCCCCAGTCTGCATGACCGCTGACGCCCCGTACGCCGTTGATCTGGGCGTTTCAAAGCCCTCAGCACTACTTCCAGGATTCGCTGCAGATGGGTTGTACCCTGAGACGCCTGCGGCAACATTGATCTGAGCGCTAGCCATTCCACTTTCGGTGGCCACACTGAAACCCTGAGTCACTGCAGTTGCATCTCCATGCACCCCACTCGCATCGGCGACCTCCGTGGTAGATACTGCTTCATACGTAACGCCAGCTGTGCCCAAGCCTCCAACCTGGCCTAGTGTTCCATCGCCTCCTGTCCTACCGACTGCTGAAACTCTCGGTTGACCGGCTGTTCCAACAGTTTCTTGTGGCAGCTGAGGGGATAGCACTGGACCAGCTGTGGAAGTCGATGGCCCCGACGACGCATCCATCATAGTTTGCTGGATTCCATCCCCAATAGGCTGCGCAAGCCCAGAGGGCGATGGCACTCCAACTCCGTTCACTGTAGTCTGCGGTGCATCCCCGCCTCCCCGCACTCCAGGCAGAGAGGCCGGAGAAGCCACCGCTCCGGTTGCTTCTGGCCCAGGCGTTGGGCTCATCACCTGTTGAAGGTGTTCACCCTGGGTGGCCATACCCTGCAGCGAAGCTCACGCAGAATGTTTTCTATGGCTGGGCGCAGAGGCGACTCACGATCTCAACGAAGCAACAAGAGAACCGACAAACCAACAAACGACCTGTACAGCTTTACAAGTTGTTGGTTACAGTACACATGGCTCAAGAGGCTTTCCTACGCAGCCTTCCCCTAAGCCAAAGGATACAGGAAACACACATGTACAAGCCTACCTGAAGGAAACTATACAAGTGCCGGCAATCCCTTCAAGCAGACTACACACCTGTCTAACCTGATACCTGGGCATGCAGTGAGAAGCATTTCAACAGTTAGGGTTTATAGGCTTTGTAGGGTTTAGGGCTTATAGGGTTTAGGGCTAGGGCTTATAGGGTTTATAGGGTTTAGGGTATAGGGAAGATGCTATTGCTCTTCTTTCCCCAGAGCCCCTACCTAAGGGTCCAAAGGACCCAATAATTAGGTACGCGGTTTTGGGTGGTAGTTATGTAGGTTACTATTTTGGAGAGTATACGAAAATTAGGTACTTGGACCCTTAGGGCTAATGTTTAATGTACCTGAAATAGGCACTACTAAGGAACATAAGGTCTCTAGTAAAGTGCGCTTGGGGGTCCTGGTCAGTCTCAAGTCAGGCATGACTTGGAAATGCTTCGTTGCTGCATCTTCGTATCGTTAATCTCAGGTTTTCCCGAAAGCCCTACCCCTATATAGTAGGTACTTAGGCCTCAATGTACCTATACAGGGACCCCTTTAAGGCCTAAGTACCTACTATATGGGCACATAACCTTAAACCCTAAACCCCCTATACCTCCGCAGGTCAGCATCGGCAATCTGCTGGACTATGTGCCTGACATCAAGCCACGCTTGTCAGCCGGCCGCAAATGCTTCCCTACCCAAAGGGTCCAAAGTATCAATATAGTAGAATGTAGGGTTTCTTTATTAGGAAATGTTCTTATATGAATTGGGGAAGTATTCCCCATGACAGTACCTGGGACCATTTGGGCTACCAATCTCTCTAGGGCCGCATACTTTGGGTTCTCGTTCAAGGCCGCACCCCGAACTTGTTTGGAAGAAAGCGCTGACAAGGTATTCTACTCAGAGACCCCAATATCCCTTAATCAAGGAATGTGCCTCAAATCATAAAACCCTACAGCCCTTGACACAGTTAAAACTTTACAAAACAAGAGGCCAACACCCTCAACAGCTCGTCCCGAGCCCACGTTTTCCTTCGAGTCCTTTCAAGGAACCCATATAAAGGCGCCCTTACCCTAAGACTCAAAATGCCCCAAAAGCCTTATATAGTGTGGTCTTTGGGCACAGAAGCCTTAAAAATGTGAGTTCTCCGAGATTTAGGGTTAAAAGGAACCCTTAAAGGAGCCCTTAAAACAGAGCCCTTAAAGGAAACCTTCAAGGAGCCCTTAAATTGGAGCCCAAAAAGGAACCCTTAAAGAGTGCGTTCACCTGCGTCCGCTCCGCCGAAGCCTCCCTTCCAAGGTATTCCATCGCTTCGTCCTCGCGCATCTCTGCTCGCAGTAGAAATACCCCTTTATAGGGACCCCCACCAGCACATAAGCATAAGCATTTTATAGGGATATCCTACCTTATTGGGCTTCATTATAAGGGAATTTATATGGGATATCCCTGTCCGTATTTTTGCTTATGTGCATTTTGGGGCCGTACTTTAGTAGGGCCTACTAATTAGGGTTTAGGGGTTCAGTGTTCAGGGCTTTGCGGTTTAGGGTTGACATTATGGGCTGAATTCGGGCTAGGTTCTGGAAAATCATGGTGCTACAATTCAGGGCCCATGCCAAAACTAACCCCGTTCTGAAGCCCTCTTCTAACTATGCTGGTATCCCTTTGTATAATATAGTATAGTATAGTATACCCCCAAAACCCTGTTTTAACTGTTCAGGCCGCTACATTACTATGTCGGCTACCAGGCTGCTCAGGAAACCCTACCAGGCCCTACCACTCTCAAACCTTTGACTTGAAGCCCTAAGAATGCTTCAACTCGGACCTAGAGTAGGCCCGTATATTTCCTTTGTTAAAAGGTTCATGTTCCCTCATAAGCGCCTTTAGACCAAAAAGGGCACCCTTTTCATTCATAGGTTATTCTTATGTCTAGTCAAGAACGGTGTTGCGTGAGGGCGGTCTCGAGTTGTGGGTTTTGCGGCCTGGTGTTAAGTTGTTTGTTGGGTTAGCCTTCTGCGCCATCTCCACTTCAAGGACCGTGTCTAGGAACAGCTACGTGCTTTTATAATCACTGAGTTGCAGGGTTCAGTGTTCAGGAGGTAGCACTAGTCGGACCCAACCGCCTAAAATTGCAATGAGAAGCACAAACTCACACGATCCTAAGCTTTAGATGATGACTTATCTGAATTAGGGTCCTTTTTGTTGGTTCCCTTTCCCTAGCGGTGCCGCCTTCTTTTTGGTTCCTACAGTTGGACCCCAACTTAGAGAACTACCCAAATCCAACTGCCGAATTATTCGATCCTGTCGACCCTGGTGGGCCGCATTTGACACTCGGTCGAAAGCCCCCTATACTTGATCCTCAGGTTTAGGCTTCCTCTTATAGGCTTCTATAACAGGGTTCCTTAAAGGGAGCTAGAAGGGTTCTATAATGGGAGGATCATGGGACTTAGTAAGTAAGGTTATAGGTACCTTAATTGGTGTTAAAAGTATAGTTACCTTAATTATAACCCTAGTTACTAAGTCCCATGACCCTTTAAGTAGGACCCGCTGAAAAGCTAAGCAGACCTTCATCGAACCCAGAACCCCGAAGTCTGCATGTTAACCTCAGCATATACTACTATCGTGGTCATTAGGTCCCCAAGACCATAATAAGGATGGTCTTCTGGGGCCCAATACCATAATGGTAGTATTTCTGGACTCCTGGACACTCGAGGAACACAAGGCCGCGACTGAACCCGCTGAGGCCTCCGTGGCGACGATGTCTGCCACCTTTGCATCATCAGGAACGACTGGTCTGCGGCGAGTGGGAGGCTGTCATTGTGGGTTCTTGTAAATCCCTGGTCCTTGCTAGGGAATGGCGGAATTGATCCCTAAAGTAGTCCCTGTATATCCCAATAATAGTCCCCGTAACCCATTCCCCCATGCCCAACTAAGAACCAGACATTGTAAACTCATCTCGATTGATGTCATTCTCGTTTACGGCTGCTCCTACAAGGAATATGGGTATTGCCCTAAGGGTCCAAGTACCTAATTGTCGTATACTCTCCAAAATAGTAACCTACATAACTGCTATCCCAAAACCGAGTACCTGGTTATGAATTATTGGGTCCTTTGGACCCTTAGGTTATGGGTATCGGTATTGTTGCTATGATCAGTATTTACCATAATGTCCTAAATACCTACCCATACCATCCTTGGGGTTCCTTATTATGGCTCTAGTATATCACACCCCAAAGCCCTATTCTAATTGTTAAGGCCCCTACCTGAACCCCCCCAAAAAAAATAATAATAGTTAAAATGATGGCCCAACACCTGTAAAAGGCCATTGTTCTACATACTCTTGGGGTCTACCCTAATAAGGGTCTTAACAAATTGGGGAACCTCAAAATTAAGGGATTCTGAGACCCCAAAGAGACCCAAGGACTCTCCCTAGGAGATTCCGGACCCTCCCAAGGAGAGACCTGGACCCTTAGGGTAAACCCAAAACCCCTAAACCCTAAACACGGGCTTCTTTAAGGGATCCTTAAAGGTTTGTTAAAGGGATCCTGGAGGGCTTCTTTATACATACTTTTGGGGTCCAGGCAACCCTTTAAAGGAACCCTTACAGTACCCTTATAATTAGTAACCCTTTTCAAGGAACCCTTATAATTAGTACCCTTATAGTAAGCCTTTAAAGGTCTATTACTCTTCTAGGTGAGGTGACCTCTTGGATGCTGCAGCTTTAGAAGCATCCTGTAAAGGCTTCAAGCCCTCTGCGCCGGACTCGACACTCAAGTTGGGGAGGATCATGGGACTTAGTAAGTGAGGCTTTGAGTACCTTGATTGGGGTTATAAGTATAGTTACCTTAATTATGACCCTAGTTGCTAAGTCCCATGACCCTTTAAGCAGAGTGCTGATCGCCCCCTTTCTCTCAAACAAACTTCCAAACTTTGAACTTTAAACCCAAATTTCATTTCCAAAACCCCAAAGCCTAAAGCCTACAAGCCCCAAGTTCTAAAGCCCTGATGTCCACATCCTGCTTGAAGTATCTGATCAGGGGGATCTGCCAACTAGGTCATAAGTAGGGTTCTCGGTACAACACCACACCCCCCCTCACCCTCCCTAAATCCTAAACCCAGGTCATCCCCGATCCTTGCAAACTCTGAACCCTAAACCCATACCCCTAAACGTACGCCCTAAACCTCTAAACCCCTAAACCCCTAAACCTAAGCCCTAAACCCCTACACCCCTAAACCCTAATAAGCCCCATAACCCCTAAGCCCTTAGGATGCACGCCATGGTTTCAGGCAGCTTACCGGTCTTTCCACCCGATGGCTCGGCGAAGACATGCATCCGGACAAGGACGCCGTGGAGGGAAGCAGCATATGGGGGTCGGAATGAATCATAATCTCAGGGTGAAGGATGTATACGGGAACCATCGTACAGGGATCGGAATACGAGCAGGGTTTGGGGTTTTAAATGGGTGGTTGTCAAAATTATGGTCCCTTTTGGGGTCCCTATCATAATACGGCACCTCATAATTAGGGTATCCAGAAAGGGACCCTAAGTTTGACAACCACCCACATGGGTTTGGAGTTTCAGAAAGGATTGAAATTTTACCAAGGTCTGGGGACATAGGGTTCAGAGTATAGCGGTAAGAAGCAATACAGTTGATGATATAAATCCTGCATGACATTAAGGACCCTAAACTATGGGAACTATGGTATATTCCCTATTATGGGTAATGCAGGGCTTATATCATCAACTGTAAATACCTTGTTGTCCAGGGGTCCTCATAAGGAACGGTTTGTAGTATACTACAACCTGCCGAATTTTAATCATCAAGGCCTCTATAATATACACATTCCAGGGCTTCTTTGCAGCTAACACATGATGCGTTTGTTCACTGAAGCTGCTCATTCACGCTGTTGGTGAGAATCGGTGTCTAAGGGGTTATTGACTGGTTTAAGGGCATGGATGCAACTTTCGGTTTCGAGAGTCGGAGATGTTCAAGAATTCGTATTTGGCCAAGCCTCGCAGGGTTTTTGTTTCTACCTGTTGCCCGAAGGCTGCCAAACTAGTGGTTTACGACCCCAGAGCTGTCCTTGGCATATTACCCTAAACCCTTAGCCCTAAATCTCGGGGGTCCGCAAGTGAGCTTTACAATGGTTCCTTGCCGGAGAGGTTCGACAACAACATAGGTAACCAAGGTGTGTTTTGCTCTCCAACTCGACTTTTCTGTTTCGGGCGTTTATGTTTCAGGGCTTGGGCTTTGAAGGTTTCGGGTTTAGGCGGGTCTAGGGCTCAAGAAGAGCTGCTACAGTTGCCCCTGGGCCGTGAAGCATATGTGGAGGAATGGTTCACTCAGATCCTTTGTTACTTGATTTCTCGTAGGACTCTTCCTTTTTTGGGATTTACTAGGACCTAGAGTAGGCCCTTATTCCCTTTTTTAGGGTTCAGGTTCCCTTATAAGCCCCTATATCCCAAAAAGGGCACCCTTTTTATTCCTAGGTTACTCTTGGGTCTAGTTTAGGACTTTGGGATTAGGGCTTGGAGGAGGGCTTGTAGGGCGTAAGGTTCTTGGGGCATCTATTTTTCGGCAGTCGTTTCGGGGATTACGACTGAATCCGAAACCATCAGCCCTCACCCGGAACCCTGCACTGCCCTAAACTTCTAACGCTAAACCTAACTTCTACAGAGACCCTTACATGCAGTGCCTGCTATTGGACGGTTTTTCGTATGGTTAGGCTCCTATAATAGAAAACTAGGTGTAACCATAAAAAAGAACAAGGGGTCTAAGTCTGCAGGAAGCCCTTCCGGTGCGTGCCTGCGTCCACCCGTCTGCGGCGCTTCGACGAAACTGAAGGGGGGGGCCATGGAAGCTTAGGCGTCCGGGGGTAAACTTCGCCAAAGGTTAATGAGTGAATTTTGGCGATTCAGGTTTTGAAGCCTGGAGATTTGCAGGCCCAGAGACCTGTTAAAGTTCATGGTTGAGATACCGTAGGATAGTTAAGATACTTTGGAACGATTTGAGAGTCATCTTGTCTTCAAGGGCTACTTGTGCTGGAGGACCTACTATAATCATAAAATCGCCTGACCGTTCGAGTACATCTCAGCTGGATTGTATGTCGGACCCATCTGCTAGTCCGTCTTTGGAGTTTCCGGCACCCTTACCACTTCACCAGCATCATCATCATCATCATCATTATCAGCAGCAGCAACATTATCACCGTCATCGACATCATCCTCATCATCATCATCATTATCACCGAATCATCACCAATACTTTGCCATGTTCATTTTCGCCACCACCATCGTCATCATCAACAGCACCATCTTATTATTCTTTCTTCACACGCGGCAATAGTGTCACACTTGTCCTGTGGGCACCTTCAATCGCCTGTTGACGATCGGCCATTCTGTGATGGCTGGCACGCGTGCTCATTTTCGAGCACCAGCCGACCATCGTCGTCATCATCATCATCATCAGCATCACCATCATCATCATCATCACCAGCAGTATCACCATCATTAATATCATCACCACTATCTTCCTTATCATCATCACCATCGTCATCATCTTCACCATCACCGGCAGCATGAGCAGCAGATGCTTCGGCGGGCAAAAATCTCGTAGTCGGCTGAATCGTCATGTTCATCTTCGTCTACAGTGTCATCTTCGTCCTCAGCCGTCTCGCAGTCGTTGACAGTGTGAGCTCCCACGCAGGTCACTTTGCCAGAGAAGCACACCACTCCAATGGTGGCTCGGCTTGCTTCTGGAGCTTTTAGGTACGCAATTCCTTGAAAGAGCCACACGCAAACCTTCAAGCCTGTGCTCTGAACTGTGTCCTTAGAGGAATTGAGACGTCGTCGGTTACGATGAAGTCTTGGTTTCGCTTAGCAGCTAGCCTCCCAAACCTGGCCCATACATCATAGTTATATAGGTTTAGATTATGCATTGTTATGTTTTTTCTAGATACTATTCTCTAAACTAAAAATATTACCATAGTTATATGCCCCAACTCAGTGTCATCATACTAGCCTTGCGAAAGCAGGGTTTCTGTACCAGAAATTACTCAGACAGTTTTTGTGAATGTCCTATCGGTGCCCAGGATCCCGGTACCATAGTTGATGATGCAAATCCTGCATTACCTTAAGGACCCCAAACTATGGGAATTATGGTATAGTCCTTATTATGGGTAGTGCAGAATTTATATCATCAACCGTATTATCGGGGTTTGGGGGTTTAGGGTTTAGGGCCAAACCTCACTTTCAACTTAAATTCAAATTTCCCTAAGCCAGTAAACCGTCAAAGCCCAGTGCACGAAACCCAGCGAACCGCAAACTCCATAGGTCCTCTTGAACCGGAAGCGGTCCCACGCGGCGATCCCAGCAACTGATCCTAAGGCTCCACGTAGCCATGTAGTAGGTACTTAGGCCTTAAAGTACCTATATAGGGACCCCCTTAAAGCCCTAAACCCCTAAACCCTAAACCCCTAAACCCTATATGGGCACATGGAGCCTTTTGGGTGAGGTGATGGTGGCCCTGGGTACCGGCATTGCGCCCATGCGAGCTTTCATCGAGGTGTCGGGCGTGCTGAGGGTTTAGGTTTAGGGGTTTAGGGGTTTAGGGGTTTAGGGTTTCGGGGGTTTGCTTTGGGTTACAGGGTCTTGCAAGGGCCTCCTAAGTTCATTGCTGCTGCTATGTTTGTTATTGGGGTTGTACGTAGCGGTGGGGTGCTTTGGATGAGAGATTCAGCGGAGTTGCCTTTGAAGTTTAGGGGTTGGTTTCGATGGTCTACTGTTTACAGGACGTAGATAACCCTAAACCGTAAACGTGAACTAAGCTAGGAGATGGAAGATTCCAGCAAGCTAGGGCACGGTGTGGGAACTAGAGTTAAGGCTTACCTGTAGCAATCTAGGGACTGGGCCTACCTGCCCTTAAACTAAACCTGAGCACAAAAGCCTTGAGCCCGAACCATGCCTATCGTAAAAGCCTACTGTCGGGGCATTTGAGGTTTAGAGTTGCACATCGCCTTGCTTAGGTCGTGGTTGCCAACATGAGAAATGATCCCGTGCTTCTGATTTGGCACTTTTCGCCTATCGCTAAGCATTGTAATTAGCAGTGTATACTTACAGCTAAATGCAAACACAAACAGAACCGGTATTGCCCAGCTCTCTCGCACCCCCACCCCTCTCCTTTCTACGCAAGGAGCGAGCCGCCGCCAAGAAGGATGGCGAGGCGCATGATCCGATTGCAGCTGTGCGCAGAAGACCCCGCCCAAAGTCCCCTCCTACCCTGAAGCGCCAGACCCTAACACAAATGTTTACCTCAGACCATAATCCCAAAACCCCTATACCCATAGGCCCCACATTAGTTCCTTTTGGGGATTACCTTATATGATTCTGCATATGAACCCCAACAAGGAGCTACTGGGGGGCCTACGGGTACAACCATAAGCAGCTGGAGGAGTGTGGCCCCATGGCGCTTTTCTTCGGTGCTCGAAACCGCCAGGTCCGGTCCCGAATTCAGAGGTTTAAGGGGCTTGGGGGTCAGGGTGTAGGGAGTACGTTTGATGATATAAATCCTGCATCACCTTAAGGACCCTATAAACTACGGGAATTCTGGTATATTCCCTATTCTGGGTCATGCAGGATTTATATCATCAGCCGTATTTGTCTAAGGTATACCGCTGATTCATAATGCCCCCCTTCCCTCAATAACAAGAAGTGCAATAGGGAGGAGCTTAAAGAGGAAAGGAGGTTGCTTGAGAAATTAGGGGTTTACTTTAGGGTTTCAAATCTTTGCTGGGTCTAGGGTTCGGAGTTGACGGTTCAGGGAGTAGGAGGTATTCTCCGAAAAAAATCCTTAGCAGGCTGATAAGAAGAAGATGCAAGAAGGAGCATGGGGGACCCCCATTTAAACCTTAAGACCCCTACAGAGTGAATTCATCAGAGCCTTATGGGAAAGTACCAACACTGTATAGTTCATCAAAGCTTTACCAGGTACCCATTAAGATCTAGTGGGAGTGAATCCGTAATGAACGCTCGCTGTTCGGCTGAAGTCTTGTGGTCCGCCTCGTACGTACACGGGAAAAAGTCCCACAAGCCATTGAGTCACCTTGTGACATGTTGAGGGGTTAGTGCTTGCTGTGGGGTAATGATGGATCCAGGGCGGAACCCTAAACGCTAAGCTCCTTCCTTCTAGGGTTCCTTTATCTAGATCCCAAAAGTATGTAGAATAATGGCCTTTTATAGGGCCGCCCGCGGCTTAAGGCTTCCCGGGTCGACAGGGGTTGTTGAAGTCGACTTATTAACTAGGGATTCTCTTGTAGCCATGAACACGGTTGATGATATAAATCCTGCATTACCCATAATAAGGAATATACGAATATACCATAATTTCCATAGTCTAAGGTCATTGAAGGGTCATGCAGGATTTCTGTCATCAACCGCAGCAACTATACTGTGCCATAAACTCTCAAAGTCCAAACCCTGGAACCCGACCACTTGGAGGATCATGGGACTTAGTAAGTAAGGTTATAAGTACCCTAATTGGGGTTATAAGTATAGTTACCTTACTTATAACCCTAGTTACGAGGTCCCATGATCCTTTAAGCAGTATAGAACCAGAATAGAACCCCTTCTAGACCTACGGAACCCTACATCCTGGAAGCCGACTTGTATAGCTCCCTTAGTAGACATATTGGGTTTGGGGGTTTAGGGTTTGGGGTTAGGGGTTTAGGGTTGAGGGGTTTAGGGTTTGGGGTTTGGGGTTTAGGGGCTTAGGGTTTAGGGTGTAGAAAGCCCTTGATCCCAAGCCGTAAGCTGTAGCTCCTGGCTTTCCGGTCGTGGTGCCCAGCAGACGACGGAAGCCCTAATGTAGGAACCTGATTCAGAAACCTTGAGCCTTTATTGGGGTTCCTTACATGAATTTTAAGGGTCATAGGCCTAGGGTTTCTTAATCAGGTTCCTACATTACCTGGATCCTGAATTCTGGAGAACCTACCTCTTAGGGCTCCTTACTATGGTTTCCTTATACAAGTCCTTACAAAGATAGGCCATTTGGGGTTAAGGTAAAGCCTAAGCCTAACCGAAGCCCCGAACATTGTCGAGGAGTACAGCTACGAAGAGGAGTTTGCGACTTGCCTGCATACAGGGGCTGGGGGGTTGCTATAGTGCAGTAATGATGGCAATATTTCGTAACAGTATAGCCGACATAATAACCATAGTACCACGACTGCTACCACTACCACTGCCCCTACCACTACCGCTACCGCTATGCTACTGCTACTACTACTACTACTACTACTACTACTACTACTACTACTACTACTACTACTACTACTACTACTGCTACGACGACTACTCCTACTACTACTGCTAGTACCACAACTACCACTACCACTACCAGTACTGGTGCTAGCACTAGTACACCTATATTCTATATTCCCTAATGCAACAGAGCCCCTTGTCTGTTTCCCACGACCATATGCCTAATGAAGCCACATGGTGGTTGTCAAAATTCGGGTCCCTTCTTGGGTCCCTATCATAATACGGCACCTACTATTTTAGGGTACCCAAAAAGGGGCTATAATTTTGACAACCGCCCACATAGGCATATGCAGTTACTAATGTCCGCACTACGCCCAAGGACCAGTACCAGAAGGATGGCGTCCTGAACCACATCCAGCTGGCTCTCAGCCGTGAGCAGAAGGATGCAAGAGCTGGTGTGTTCGAAGGGGGGCAGGGTTTGGGTTTTCTGCTTTGGGTTTTGGGATTCGGGCGTAGGATATTCTGTGGGTACACGACTTCCAAGAAGCATGGAATTGGTGACAATTTCGGCTCCTGAAGTATTGCCTGAGCATCTTTGCGCTTGTTCACACTGTCCGTCCTGCTCCGGATACTCACGGTGCTATGCATCCTGTGCATGTCCGAAAGCACGTGCTTCAGCAAGGGCGGTACCAATACATCGATGCTACCAACGACGCCGGATGCTGTCAAGTCTTATGGCTTATGTTGTGGTTATGATCAACCATGTACTCACATAGGAGGTACTTAGGCCTTAAAGTACCTATATAGGGACCCTTTTAAGGCCTAAGTACCTACTACATGGGCACATGGAGCCTTTGGGGCATGAGCCCAACCTCCACTCGCACCAACCCTACCATCACCGTCCCGCCAGCACCAGCCCGTCATCAGCACCATCTCCTGCTCCAGTGCAAGCGCCAGCACCAGCACCTCATTAATGTAGGAACCTGATTAAGGAACCTTGAGTCTTTATTGGGGTTCCTTATATGAATTCTACTGTATTGGGGGTTACAGGACCAGGGTTTCTTCATCGGGTTCCTATATTATCACCTGCATGAGCATCAGCATCACCATGATCCTTCCCGTTGTCCGTCTTGCGGTTCACTGTCTTCACGACTGCATCACAAAAACCCCTGCTCTTCTTGTATCGCTATCTTCACCACCGTCATTGCCGTGTCATAGCCAGCCTCATTCTGATCCCGAAGCCGGGTGGATCGGAACGGCTCGGTTTTTTGGAAGAATACCCCACATGCATGTTTGCTCATATCTGCGACTTGCTAATTCGTGTCGAACCATCAGCCCCTAAACCCCCAAACCCTAAACCCCTAAACCCTAACCCCTAAACCCCTACCCCCCAAACCTCCCAGCACTGCACCCCACTGTGGCATATCGGCGTAGTACGAATTCCTACCCCCACATCAGCCCCTGAAAGAAAAAGACAAAACCAAGCGCACCGCACCCTAAACCCTAAGTCCTACCCCAAGGGCCCTAACAAATTCGGGAACCTCAAAATTAAGGGATTCTGATACCCCAAAGAGACCCAAGGACTCTCCCTAGGAGATTCCGGACCCTCCTAAGGAGATGCCTGGACCCTCGAAGTAGATCGCCTGTCATTTCATGGCTGCCAACCTCATGAGGAGAAGATCTACGTCACCCACCGCCTTCAGCAAAACAAAGAGCCCTTTGGCCGCATTCTCGGGTGTAGGGCTTGTTGGCCAGCTGTGACATCCCTGAATACCTGTCATCGTGTTCAGACCACTACCATGTCCGCATCGTTTCAATATTCTTTGTCATAGTTTGGCTAACATTTTAAATGTTTATGGGTACTTAAACCCAATAAGGAATAACAATGAACATTTTCAATCCTATCCCAACCATGAACTAGTATTATTTTGCAGATTTCACCCTGAACCCTGCACGAAGATTTCTGTAACGCGCAATGTGCTTATCATGCATTGCACTGCCCACTTAGTTACCATGCATTGCATCGAAACGTTTTTTGCTTTGCTGTCGGATTTAATCAGGACTTTGTTGTCGGAATTCAGGAGGGCATATGTACCCAAAACCAGCCCTCAACTGCACCCGAAGCGCTACACCCTAAACCATAAACCCCCAAACCCGAAACTCGTAGGCCCGAGCTCCCTCTTCGAGGCTTGCTAATGTAGGAACCTGATTAAGAAACCTTGGGCCTTTGTTAGGGTTCCTTATATGAATCCTACTGTTTAGGTGTTATAGGCCCCGGGTTTCTTCATCAGGATCCTACATTAGCACCCGATTCCTGTTTCGAAGACATTATGCTACTAGGGCCTTCTTTTGACCACGCGGGCTTCTTACAACGCTTCATTCCTAGCATGGTAAGATCGGTTGTCTACTGGGTTGTACAGGGTGTCTCAGCCGGGCCTGAATAACTTGATAAGTTGTTTTCTCGTGAGATGGACGGGGTGCCAAACCGACTGTAATTAATTACGCTAGATTGTAGTGCACGTGTCGTACAGCCGGACTACCACGAGATATTCTCACTGTTTGCTCCGAACACTAGCTGAAGCTGCGCAGAAGAACTAGGACCCAGAGTAGGCCCTTATTCCCTTTTTTGAGGCTTAGGTTCCCTTATAAACCCCTTTAAACCAAAAAGGGCACCCTTTTTATTCCTAGGTTACTCTTAGGTCTAGAGAAACCAACCAACGAAACCAGTCAAATTCTGGGTAAGCCCTGGACTCCTCGCGGGGCAGGCTGGTGTACGACCTGATTCACCAGAAGGATCTTGAGCCTACTGTGTTTTGATGGTCCGAGCATCTTAGACCGGGAGCTACCCTAAGGGTAAATTCGGGAACCTCAAAATTAAGGGATTCTGAGACCCCAAAAAGACCCAAGGACTCTCCCTAGGAGATTCCGGACCCTCCTAAGGAGATACCTGGACCCTTAGGGTAGACACTAAGTCCGAAACTTGAAGCTTCATGCTCTGAAACGCCTCGGATCAGGTTTTAGGGATCAGGGGCGTAGGTCTTAGCCTTTACTTCAATCATAGAGCAACCCTATACACCCTGAGCCTCAAGCTGCAAGTCCTGTGCCCGACATCCTGTGTCCAAAGCCTTTTCTTAAAGCCTGTCGAACATCCTATAAAGCTCGAAGCCCCGTACCCAAACCCCACAAGACCTTACTATAACATCCTGTGGAAGGAGGGAAACTTGTACCTCTGTGGGCCGGGTGGCAACGTCCCACCTCAGGCGGCCTGCACCCGCTTTCGGGTTAGGGTTTAGGGTTGTGGGGATGTGGCGCCTTTTTTGGCAGACTTAAGACGGTTAGGCTCGATGGCGGGTTTAGACGGTTTAGGGTTAGGGTTTAGGGTCAGGAATTTCAGTTAATTCCAATTCTAGAGCTCCAATCATAGGATTCCGATTGTGTGTAATGTGATACTTCTGCTGTACATGTGGTACATAGTTAGACTCTAATTAGACTCTCAACCAAATGCCCTAAGCCCGGAAATCGAACCCTAAACCCATAACCCTAAACCCTTGAGACTGCCTTTGTGGTTCAGCCAGCAACGTGAACTGCAGAGTATCCAAACGTGCACTCCACGCCTCAAAGTCCGGCGTGCCTGGAGCCGACTGAGACGCTGCTAAATCGTAGGCCCCATGAGTCTGATCTAGGTACCCCTCTATGTCCCATGCATGTGCTATGCAGGCACTATAAGGCTGCTTAAGCAAATGCCATAGGTACATGGAGCCTTGGGATAAATCCCGACCTTTTCGTACCAAAGGATTTTCATCACACAGACGATGCCGCCGTTCTATTCAACGCAAACTCTTTACTGTCTTTACTCACGGAGTCTACAACCATCTACAAACCTTTCGAGCAGCCTAACAGCAGAGAATCCGACAACTCAAGGTGCGTGTCTGTGTGCGGGTATGGAACCACACGGGACGGAACAGAATACATAGCGACACAACAATATGAGACTACGAGAATGCAGCTTATTTAACAGAGCAGACAATCAGTTTAAGTCACACAGCAATGTCGGAATCTCTGCATGCAGGTGAGGCAGGCCGTCATCGATGCGATCAAGGACGTCGGTGGACACAGTGCCAAGCCAAGCTCAGTCACATCGAGCTTGTTCTTGCAGTGATTCGTGGTGTTGTGCATAAGCCTAGTAATCAGTAGACTAGGTAACCTTTAAAATTTATTTGGTACCATACTCCCTATAAAATCCAAGAGAGTAGGTAACCTTTAACCTTTCTTTGGTGACATAATTTAGAAATCCTTACAAAATCCCAGTGTACTCCCAAAGGTTGACCAGTAGTTCCCCAAGATACCGGACAAGTAGGTAGGCATGGTGTTGTATTTACGGGCTTTATCATGGCTTTCTGCTGGTCTTGTACGGCTTCTACAGGCTCCTTCATCGTGCGTCCTATGCCTCACTAGGTGGGTACGCGGTTTGTTGGGCCTGTCCCGCTGGGAAGCCGACCCAAGCTGTGTCCACCGCACCTAGTAGATGTACCAATCGCTTTGGGTCATAATTACCCCTTTCAAAGGTAGTTACAGAGGTTAATTACCCTAGGGAAGCCTTCATTCAAGGTTTACTAGCCCAAGGGTGTAGGGTCCTTTGACCCTAAACTAAACCGCAAGCCCTTACCCCCCGCCCTAAACCCCTAAGCTCAAAACCTCGACCCTAAGCCCTAACCCCTAAACCCCTAAGCCCCTAAGCCTAAACCCTATCTTTTTTTTCGCTTCTCCAACTTGTCCTGGGCACCATCTTTGGTCGCCTCTGAATGCTGCGCCGTGTACTATAGCGGCATTAACGGGTTCCTGAAAGGGCTCTGTACCTGCAGGGGCTAGTTTTGGGGCCGAAACAGTTACCAATACTATCTTTAGGTGTTCCTCATATTATAATTGGAGTATCATTGGCCCTAAAACCCTATTCTAATTACCGAGGCCGCTATTTTCGCTGACCCTTATTGCAACTCGTTTTGCCCAAAAGCTTCATCCGACATCAGGTTTTTCAGGTTTAGGGGGTTGTGTAAGGCAGGACATCATATTATGCATGGTAGTCCTCAGAGATCGCGGTTGAGACGGGGAGGGCACAAACCTCAGAGTGTACTAGGGCGAATTGGGGATTGCTGGGTTATACATCTCCTTTGGATCCCACCTCCAGATAGTGCGGTGCCTTCCTCGAGCCATCAATAGCCAATTCGACACCCTGAACTAGGGACCCCAAAAAGCACATAAGCATACGCATTTTATAGGGATATCCCTACCTTGTTGGCCTAAGTTTTGCTAATGTGCTTTTTTGGGGCCCTATGAAACCCAAACCCTAAACCCCTAAATCCCTAAACCCTAAACCCTAAAACCCTACAGCCCTAAATCCTAAACCCTTAACCCTAAACCCTAAACCCTTAACCCAACCGCGGCTGTGCTGCTCCTTCTGGCTCAGGTGACTTTGTCACACAGGACATGGTCCTTATAAGCCACCCAACCCTGAACCCGAACTGCTTCCTATGCGAAGCCTTCCAACGCTGTAGTAACATCTCCCCCCGACCTCTAAACACACACACACACACACACACACACACACACACAGGCACAACCCCAAGCAAAAGGAAGCAACGCACAAGCGCGATGCAAGACGAACTCAAGCCCAACCCCCCTTAACTCACATCGCGAACCCAACCCTTGAGGATCTCAATCCCGGCCGCTGGGCCCCGACCCTACACCCAAGACACGACCACCCTTCAACTTTAGGCAAGGCAAAAATTTCGCAATACTGCTCCTTGGGTTCCTTGTTGTAATTGAACTGTGGTCTTATCGAAGCTAACCTACATCATCTAAGTGTACTGGCCCGTCTTGGGTCCTGTAGCCCTACAGTTCAAGCCATAGCACGCTAAAGCCTAGAGGCCCCTGCAGGGGCAAGTGCCCAGCCAGGGCGCTGCTTTTAACTCCAGTGCCATCCGGCGCCTGCCTGCGTCCTGGAATCAAAAGGCTCCTTTTGAGGGTGGAGGATTTGCGATGAGGGTTTAGGGTTTAGGGAATCAAAAGGCTGCTTTTGATGGTTGAGGATTTGGGATTAGGGTTTCAGGGTTTAGGGAATCAAAAGGCTCCTTCTCATGTCGATGTCGCGAAATGGTTGGGTGTTTGGGGTGAGGGTTTCGGGGGCTGCTTGGTTTCAAGTCTCCTTCATAAGGGTCTAGGGCTTAATCAGATGCTTTTTTGCATTTTGGGGTTTAGGGTTTTTGGGGCATTCAGGGTACACAGCCCTAAACCACTAAACTATCCTAGACCCTAATATCCACGGGTAAAAGGAGGGACCTTTGAATATGGCCCATTATAGGGTAGGGGTCCCCATTAAGGGTCCGGCATCGGGGTTTCTTCAGGTCGCGTACTATATTTGGCCTTACCTTGGGATCCAAAAACCTACCGTTTTAAGGGTCAGACCCTCTGATTAAGGTGTCATAACCTACTATGTTGTAGGGTTTGGGGATACAGGTAATAATTGCCCATACTACTTGGGCTCCGTATTATAGTTGTAGTCTACTAGTACAATATACTACCAAACCCTATTCTAATTATTCAGGCCCGTGTAGAATTCAGGGATCCTTACGAAGGCTGGAACTATACCCTCTAATATACCCCAAATACCACCATTAAGGGCCATAATGGCTCCATTAAAGGACCATTGGGGGCTCCTGGTTTAGATGGTATTGAGGAACTACTCACAATCTTTTTGATCCTGGCTGTTGCTTTGCATTGCAAGTGACGAGACCCGGTTCTGTTCGCAGTGCATCATGGTACTTAAAGGATCATGGGACTTAGTAGCTAGGGCTAGGGTTCCTTTAAAGGGGCTCCTAAGGGAGCTATACAGGCTACTATTGAGGGTTCTGTAAGGGTTTTGGCGGTACTTAAAGGATCATGGGACTTAGTATCTAGGGTTATAAGTAAGGTAACTGTACTTATAACTACTTATAACCCCAATTAAGTACTTATAACCTTACTTACTAAGTCCCATGATCCTTCAAGTACGGTCTGGGGTTCAAGCCATTTAATGCAGCCCTTTACCGTTCAGGAGGATCAGTCTTGCCGGAGATGTCGAGAGCCCAGGCTCCCTCTTCGTCAAGCCTGATACCTCATCCAAAACGCCTAACGGCGACTCTTCTTCGGGGTTGAGGGGTCTAGGGTTTGGGGCTGGCTTAGGGTTTGGGGTTTAGGGTTGTGGGATCTTGATTCTAGATCGGAGACCCTAAACCCTCCCCCCCAACTGTGTTCCAGTTATCAAAGGCCCCCATATATAAGGACATGTTGTAGCTCCTCTTCAACGCAGCGATTCCTCCCTGGAAAGGTTCCGCTCTCCTCGCGCCATGGTGTCTGGCTACATGATTTCCGTAATTGATCACATCAAGAGCATGCCGCTGGGATTTCCTACCATGGTCTCCTTCTAGGGACCCAAAAAAGCACACAAGCAAAATTAGGATAGGGACATCCCATATAATCCCCTTATAATGAAGCCCAATAAGGTATATAGGCTTAACCCTATAAAATGCTTATGCTGCGTGCTTTTATATAGGGGTTTAGGGTTTAGGAATCCGTAGAAGGTTCAGAGCTTAGGGTGTCAGGGTTCAGGGTTCGGGGTACTTTGAGCATTCTGGGTGTAAATTATGTGGGGTTGTTATCCCATGAAACCCAATATTTATGACTTTCCCGACATCTGAAACCCTACATTTGCGATTACGAATATAGCCTCCAGCTATGCATCAGCTGTGCAGTGAATCACTGTGTACTTGTGAAACAAGAACACTTGAAGTTACATACATTCCATGCAAGATCGTCGAACGTGTGCGTCCCCGATCGTCAAAAGACGACACTGCCACCGTCAGCCGTTAGTGTAACGCCCTACGCCTGCGGGCCAACTCAGAACATGCGGACGACGGGTGAGAGATTGGGCGCCTCAAGCTTCGAAACAGCCTTAAACAATGAACCGGTGATCCAGAAAAGGAGCGACAAACAAAAAAGAACCCGTGACCCAGGTTTGGGTTCTGGGTCTAGAGAGCACAGTTTTGCCGCTGCAGGGATTCCGTCTTTAAGCGTGCTTACCATTGCCCTAAGGGTCCAGGTATCTCCTTAGGAGGGTCCGGAATCTCCTAGGGAGAGTCCTTGGGTCTCTTTTAGGGTCTCAGAATCCCGTAATTTTGCGGTTCCCCAATTTGTTAGGACCCTTAGGGTGAAGATGAGCTCAGGCATTTGATTTTCCCGGCGGATGTCGAGGCGCTCTACCTTGATCATCTGCACGAAGTGAAGAGGCTGGGGGGTTCGTTTGTTCAGGAGTTTATTAGGGTTTTGGGTTTAGTAAGGGGTTTAGGGGTTTAGGGTTTAGGGGTTTAGGGTTTAAAATTTAGGGTTAGGGACACTTCGGACAAGAGTTCGCCTATTCTGGCATGAGTGGCAGCGGAAAGGAGCCTCAAATTTGCCCTAAGGCTCCATGTACCAATTTAGGCCTTAAAGTACCTATATAGGGACCCCTGTAAGGCCTAAGTACCTACTATATGGGCACATGGAGCCTTTGGGTTGTGTAGGAGTTTAGTTTTGACAACCCCTTATAGACGCTCTACTCGCCCTTAAGATGCTGAAGTGTAGCAGCTTTTGTTTTTTCGCAGGCCAGATTTTGCCAGTCTCTGGTTGCTATCGGTCAGCCGTCTGTTCGGTTGACACCCGCTGTTTCTTCCGAAGTTCTAGAGCGAAATTACATGTCTTGCCCACAGGGTGCTAAGTACTTATATGGGGTGGGTTACTTGCCCAAACCATACTTGGAGGATCATGGGACTTAGTAAGCCAGGTTATAAGTACCTCAATTGGGGTTATAAGTACAGTTAGTATAGCTACCTTACTTACAACCCTAGTTACTAAGTCCCATGATCCTTTAAGTAATGGTACTTCCTATCGTAGAAACCCGGGAGTCTACTAATAGGTACGTAGGACCCTTTGGATTTATAAGGCTTAGGACCCAGAAGTTCTCCATGCGAGGTGTGCTGTCGAATACTGAGCAACATGACTCGTTTGTTGGAGAAGCAACTCTGGTAACCCTAAACCCTAAACCCAACGGAGCGTTAGGCTTGGCATTCTCTACACCCTTCAGAGTGTCACATGATGCACACTGAAAGCCCTAGTCTAGGCGACAGAATAACTTCCCAAAATGAAAAGCCCTATGGGGAGGGGGGATAGTATAGTATGGTATAGTATCGTATTGTAAAGTATATAGTATATGGTATACGGTAAAGACTATGAATCCTTATTCTGATTTAGGGTTTAGGGTTTAGGGCCGTTATGAGTGATCATATAAGTCCTCGAAAAGTAGTTTTTTTTTTTTTTTGGGGGGGGGTTAGGCAGACCACTAAACCCTGCCTCCCTTGACCCTTAGGGGCTACGGAGTCTTAGGGTAGATCCGAAAGGCAAACCAGCTGGGCATTCGTAGTTGGTTTCTTCTTCCCGCTGTTGCATCTTGGCAGAATTAAAAGATTCCAGATTGCACTTGCCCGAGCCCGGGCAATGATAGCCAGACTCAGGCTGTTACCTGTCACGGCTTCGGCTGCTATGACCGACTGTCCTGTTGCTGCTGCTGTCACGGTTACTGCTGCTGGGGTTAGGACAGATATCACTAAAAGTGCAACTACCTCTGCCGCAAATTCAGACTAGGGCATACTCGGGCCAGCACGCGACTGCCCTTTTATTCTGGCCGCAACTCCCACAGTATGTTTGTCGCTTTGTGTGTGTGTGTGTGTGTGTGTTGTTTGGTTGTCTGGCGTGGGGGATCTATGGCGTTGCCTTCCTTCTTGGTGCCGGGCGATGCGAAAATTTAGTCATGATGAGCCAGTGCGAAACCCAAAAAGCCCTCAAGCCCCAAACCGGAACACCCAGAAGCCCCAAACGCTAAACCTCGCATTCTTGTTGCACCAGTAGCATCGGCAAAGGCCAAGATTGTAACTTGCAGAATATGGATTGTGTTTCGCTGCAGACACCCTTGAGGCCATCCCAAACCTGATACTGCTGATGGACACACCCTAAACCCTAACCCCTAAATAGCCTCGAGTACCCTCAGCTAGTAATCCATCGTATAGCCCTCCTTATGGAGGGCGGTAGGGGAGGCGGGGTAGGGGCCCATAATGCCCATAATGAGGACCTAGTAAGGCCTGGTTAAGGAAGTATAATCCCCTACCCCCTCCCCCTTACCTAAGGGTCCCTATGAGTATAGGCTGGTGTCTATCCATCGTCAGTAGAACAACCGATAAATAAACAAATATTCGAAGCTAACACATCCTGAACGATGGGCCCTGAAGCCCCCAAACCTAAATGCAGCACCTTACTCCGTAAAGGCAGCTAAGGACAAGTGAGATTATGCTGGTCTCACACCTCTTCGCAGATGGAGACACGGATCTGCCAATTATGACAATTGTCAGACTTGCCACTCGGTTCCTGTTGATGTTCATGGTTTGGATTTCCTAGTAGTAGAGTAGGTAACATTTAACCGTTTTTGGGTAGTCTAGTCCCTATATAACCAAAAAGGTTAACCTTTAGTTCCCCATGATACCCGACAAGTCGAATTTGTGGATTCAGGGTTTAGGGCTCATGTTCGAGGTTCAGGGCTTGAGCCCTTTTAAGGATCCAGGGGTTGCATAGAAGACAGCAAGGATACGTGGCTTAACCCTACTAAACCCCAAACCCTAAACCCTAAACCCTAAACCCCTAAACCCTAAACCCCTAAACCCCGAAACCCTGAACCCTAAACCCCAAACCCTAAAAACCCTAAACCCTCAACCCCAAGCCATCTCAAGCCCCAAACCCCAAAGTCCCCCCCACCCCATGCCCCAAGCTCCTCACCACAGACCCTCAACCCCTAACCTGAAGCCTCATTCAACGGAATCAACATAGAAACTCACATAGAGCCTAGGACCTAGAGTAGGCCCTTATTCCCTTTTTTAGGGTTCAGGTTCCCTTATAAGCCCCTATATCCCAAAAAGGGCACCCTTTTTATTCCTAGGTTACTCTTGGGTCTAGGAGCCGTCTTTTGCGCAACCCTACCAGAACTTTGCATGGAACTCTTACTCAAAACTCCGGAGAGCGCTGAAAAGGGCAGCCAGTTGTTGCTCTTCCTTGTCTCGACGGTGGTCTGCCTCAACTGCTTCGGCACAACAAGTAAGGCCCTGTTTTGGGGGGAGGGTCTTGCAGGAGCCTACTAGGGTTTCATTAGGGTTCAGGGTCTAGGATGGTTTAGGGTTTAAGGTTTTGGGGGTTTAGGATGGTTTAGGGTTTTCGGGTTTATAGGGTTTAGGGTTCAGGGCGTAGGGTTTAGGATTTAGGGTTCAGCGTTTAGGGTTTAGGGTTCTGGCAGTTTAAGCTGGAGCTTGGGCAGCAAGAGTTGAACACCTTGGCGCAAATTCAAGGAAGCCAAGTACACGCAATAAAAGAGAAATCCCAACGGAGGCTCCATGTACCTGTATATGTTAAAATATACAATTCAGCCTTAAGGTGGGGGGCTCGTGTGTAGTTACTGTAAGGCCTCAGTATATTATAACTTAACCCCAAATAACCTACCTTTCTAAGGGCTTATGTAAAGAAATCATATAAGGGAACCCCAAAAGGGTAGGTTCTTTAGGGTCCAGGTGTGGGCACATGGAGCCTTAGGGTTCCCACATCCCCACCTAAGTCACAAGAGTGTCCTTGTGCAGAAAGCTGTTTGGCTATCTGTTTCCTTCCTATAGACCCGAAACTATAGGGCTCAACCTGTCAGGGTTTAGGGGCTTAGGGTTTAGGGTTAACCTAAACCATTAAATCCCAAACCCTGAATCCTGAAGATGTCTCAAATCCTAGCTTCGGAACCAAGGGCTTAGGATTTCTGACGTCTTTTCCCTCACCCGGGCCGGTTGTCTGTCGGTGTTTAGGGCTCTGGCGTTCTAGGGGGTGGGGCTCTCGGGTTTAGGGCTGGGCCTCCAGCGTTAAAGCCCCAAGGCTCCACGCACCCATACAGTTTGTACTTCGGCCTTAAAGGGGTGCCTATGTAGGTACTTTGAGGCCGAAGCATATACTATATCACCCTAAACCTTAACGCCCTAAACCCTAAACCCAAACCAACCGTAAATCCTAATATAGGCACATGGAGCCTCAGGGTAGGGGGATCCGAAATCTGTCTCTAATCTAGTTGCATTTACAGGGTTTAGGGTTTAGGAGTACCATACTTTGATTACTTCTTTCTGGACTTGTTCCTCCACGGAGCCAGTATGAAGCAAAGTTTATACATGTTTCTCCCTGGCTCCTTCAAAGCCCCAGCAGTTAGTCGAGTTGTTCGCCAAAAGCTTGTGCACCACACACCCACCGCATGGGGAAAGTTTGTCAGCCTAAACCCTAAACCCTCATGCACCAGTCATCGAGCTAGATCTTCCATCCATGTATATTGCTACAGGGGTGTTGAGCGTTCTTGTTCTTGCATAGAAGATGTGGGTTCTTGTCCTTGTTTCGAGATTGAACGGCTCTTGTCTTTATTTCTGGCTTTGCCGTTTCAAGATCGAATTGCTGTTAGGTGTCAAGTACAGGGTCTCGAGCCAATTTAGGGTTCCTTTTTAAGAAGGGGTCTATAAGGCATTGAGGGAAATAGGGGTGTTAATAATTAGAATAGGTTTCTTGGGGCATGTTTTATAAGATTAACAATAAGGAAAATAGTACATACAGGTGGCGGGAATAAAACAAAATAGTATCCCATGATGGTCCTTCTTCAAGGTATTATTATGTATTCTATGGGACACAAAAGTAATAGTATCCCATGATGGTCCTTCTTCAAGGCATTATTATGTATTCTTTGGGACACAAAAGTAATAATTAGTATCCCATGATGGTCCTTCTTCACGGTACTATTATGTATTCTTCAGCACACTCCCCAAAACCTGCCTCAACCCTGAAGCTTAAAGCCCTAAAGCCCCAGCTAAACCCGCAAACGCAGGCAAACTAGTCGCCTAAAACGTATACACAGGCCGTCGTACTAAAGCCGCAACCGCAGGTCAACCGGGAGGGTGTCTGGGTGGTCATCATCTGCGCTGTCTTGATGCCACCTGCAAGCATCGGGTCTAGGGTTGAGGGGTTCGCGATTTGGGTTTTAAGTTGTAGGGCTTAGCTTTGGGCATCACCAAGATCCTCATCAGAAATGTCCCAAGGCTATGTAAACAAGAACGGCTTAAGATTCACGATATGGGAGTTTCCGAAAATTAGGGGTACCTTGTTCTGGGGTCCTTATAAGAAGGATCCTACTATCTAGGGTGCTACATTAGGTTACCCTATTTTCGGAAATCCCATATTCGACTGTAATTTGTAGAAAACCATGCAAATGCCGACAGTAGCGAGTATGCGGACACCGCTTCCTACCAACTCCATCTGACCTAAACCCCTCAACTACAATCTAAGGTACTCGGCATACCCGCTTTTGAGGACCGAAAGGGCTCTATTAAAGGACACCGACCTAATTTCCAAGGACCTTCACTTTCCTGGAAGGAACCCTTAAGGGTGCCCTAAATGCCTCAAGCCCTAGCCTACTCGAATCCGCAAGCTCAAGCTTAAAACCCTATAACTCTAATCCCGAAAACCCGACAGTCCTAAAGTCCACCTACCAAGGGCTCTCTCCCCGAACCCAACCCAGATTTTAAACCCCGAAGTTTCCTGAATCGACCTACCAAGGACCTTCACCCGAAACTCTAAACCCTGAACCCTAAATTCCTAAACTCCAAGAAATAAATCCACCTACCAAGGACCTTCACTTTCCGGCACGCCCAGGGCGATGAAGCTGCCGGAACGGCGCTTCTCCAGGCACTCCTCGCCCCACGGCCATAATATATAGGGGCTATAATAATTACCTCTACTACTTTTGGGGGCTCCTTGTTATAACTACAGTAGACTGGGGGGGGCTTTAATAATTACCTATACTATTTTGGGGCCTCCTTATGATAATTGTAGTAGAATGGGCCCCAAAACCCTATTCGAATTGTTGCGGCCCCTGTATTAGAAGGACCTGAAGGACCAAATGACACTTAAAAGTAGAGGCCCTATACCCATATACTATGAATCCCTATATAGTATCTCAACCTTAAACCCTTTTAGGGCTCATTTCGTCCTTAAGGGAAGCTTGGGTTGAGCCTTTGGTGGTCTGAGGTTTCGGGTTTAGGGCGAAGATGCGGAATCCCCGAGCCTGTACATCATAGGGATCCTTAGGGGTGTAGGGGGAGGGGGGGTAGGGGGCCTTAAGGCCCATAATAAGGATTAATAAGGTTTATTTAAGGAAATATAGTCCCCTACACCCCTCCCCCCTACACCCCTAAGGATCCCTATGAGTACAGGGACCCTCACAAGCAGGATTCTTGAGCAGGACTCACACAGTTGCTGAGCCCTAACCCAAAGGCTCCATGTGCCCATATAGTAGGTACTTAGGCCTGAAAGGGATCCCTATACGGTACTTTAA